CCCCAAAACCCCAAAACCCCAAAACCCCAAAACCCCGAGCCAACCTTTGTACCTAAATATATTATTATTATAAATGGAGGAACTGAAGTCGATTCATAAATATGAAACGAAGCAAATAGAAGAGTCTAAAGAGTGTGCTATACAGGCCCAACTAGAGAAGCTGGATGCGAACACCTTAGAAATTGTGAACAAACAGTATTTCAACAGACGTATATACGGCAGGGACATGAAGAGCATCAGAGTTAACTTTGATATCCCTCATAAGAGGGTTCTATTTAAGAAAGTGATGAAGCAGGGAGCCCAAGCCAACCATATATCCCTTCTATCATTCCAGAAAGTGGCAAGGCGTGAGGAAATGATTACCGAATTTCTAAGTGGAGTCAAAGTGGAAAAGATCAATCAATTATGTTTAAAAGGCAGCACTGACTTAGTAGACTTCAGTCTTTATACCAGGAGTCTTATGAAGTTCATCTCGAAGACAGTTGTGCTCGTGAGGATCACTTTTTTCAAGATATCACACAGGGATTTTGGGAGGATCTTAATGGCCTGAAACAACAAATCTAAAATTAAGTTTATGAAGTGTAGGATCACTGTTGATCATCTTGACTACCTTGATAATGCACAGCCTTTGATCATCCAACTGGATCTTTTCAGGAATAAGATTATACAACCTGAAGAGGACACTGCAGATCTTAATGGTCTCATCCAGAAGATGGCAGACTCCAAGCTCAACACTTGTTTAAAAACAGTCATCATTAAGCTTCCTATACAATATAGATGAGCTAAAGACACTGATATGAACAGAAATTATAATATCGGAAAGTTCACAGTAAATATTTCAATCTAATTTCGATACTAAGTTAGCTTCTAATTCCTTCGATGCTCAACTGATATACATATTTTTCCATGAATCTGTGTCTGCCTATATATTCCCTAATCAGTCAGGAATGCCTAAGAGTACTAATGTCTGCAAGAATTCAAATAGACTGACAATCAATTACTGTTTAATGTCCAACTTCTAAAGACTAGATTTATGTGGAAGAACAAGTAATAGTCTCTAGTCCGTCATGATGTTTAGGATCTCCAAACTGGTTTCTTACTAATTACACTACCAATCCTAATTTTCTGTGATTTATCTGTCATATCCACACAATTTGGGTCCAAGTAAATCCTTCAGGATAGGTTTAAGCTTACTCAATAGGTTCATCTGAGATTACCCTGAGGAGCTAAACTCTATTTCAAAGCCTATTATCATGACCCATAGACTGGTTTCTGCAGCTTTCTTATGCAACTTCCTATTAGTCTAAAACAGAGGGTCTGGATGTCTCAGTTATAAGCTTGGGAGAAAATGTACTAAGAAATAATTAATAGAACACCAAATTTCAGAGCAAGGTTGAGACAGGAGGGATTACCAAGAGTGCATCAGCCTCTGTGCAATGCCTTACTAAGCTTGGTGATATGGGAGCAATATTTTAACCAAGGTCTGGGAATAAATAGTTTAGAAACTATTGCATGCTTAACTTATGGTCTGACCATTCTGAAATATATTTCTCATTAGGCTCAATCTTGCCTATACACCTATAGTCTGATTGGTTGGCATAAGAGTCAAGCCAATTTGAATGTAGTCTCCCTTCTCTCTGTTTTAGAAAAATTGTGGAAGATTTGTCGCTCCAAAAACAATTCTGAGGGTTTTACAAGAAAAAGTGTGATCAAAGGAATTTCAATAATGATTAAGATATAAGGGGTTTTGGGGTTTTGGGGTTTTGGGG